TAGATTCATTTAAATCTGTGATTGAAAAATGAAAGAAAAGTTTAATAAATATTTGGATGATTTGCCTATTACATTTTTGCTTTGAATGTTTTTTTTATCCTAGTTATAAAATCACTTTTTTTAAACTTATTTAGATTTATTGTTTGATAATAATATTCATAAAATTAATAATACTAAAAATTCATTTAATTCTAAATTATATGAGATATATGATTTTTGAAAGAAAACTGCAAATAATTATACTACCACTATTGGTGCATCTTATGGATACTCTTGATTTTTCGATACTTATTTAATATTTTCATATCTTGATTTATAAATTTATATAGATTTACCAACAATATCTATGGATACTCTTCAACCTTTTAATATTTTGGATTTGTGGAAATTATATGAAAATACTTATCTCGTGCTCTCTCTTATGGCACGGTATATACTAACAATTCCTATTTCGACCGTAGCAGAAGAATAAGCTTTTAGTGTAGGTGGTTAAGTTATATCAGACACCAGAAGCAACTTATCATCTTTAATCTTTGAAGCATTAACATGTCTAAAAGATTGGTGGCTAACAGAAAAGAGAATGCACAAAGAAGAAAATATTAAAACAAAATGATTGAAGAAATGGAAAAGTTGAAATCGTCAGTGTTGAAATTTAAAGACAATATTTCTTCCGAATGATTTTTTGTTTTTAAATATTCATTCCATTATATTTATATTATTGTATTTATTTATTCTACTTGAGAAAATGCACATGATTAAAAAATGAGTAAGTGCCAACCTAGTTGGGATGTGTACTCATATTGTTGGCCTTTTGGGATTCTGACAAATTAGCACCACTCTTCTACAATAAAGGGATCGATGATACTTGCAAAACAACATAGCACTAAGATTGGTGTGACTCTTGCCACACGATCTCTGATGCTTAAGTTAGGATCGAAGTAGTATAGTATAAAGTGTAGAGTCTTGTGAGCATGTCTCTAGGGTTTGGTCTCTTATCTTATTTATAGGGATTTCTCTGCATATTTTTGTGGAGATCTTCTCTACTGGGCTTGCCCCACTCTTGGTCGATCAGGGTGTCGAATCCATGATCCATTTGGGCTGGCTATGTAAAATGGCCGGAGAGAACTGATAGGAGTTCTCGGCCCACAATCGATAATTGCTCTGCACCGAGAAGTGGTTAGCGTCGAGCCCTGGTCGACCAAGTTGATCTAAGTCTCTCGTCCTCTGCTCGGTCGACTCGTGTAGTCGGGCCCTTTTATCTTCAGCCCAAGTTCGTCTTCTTATCCTTTTGCCGAGTCTCATTTATTTAGCCCATAACAATTGCCCTCACCCTCTAGATTGTGATTATTTTATTAGTTGGATTCACTATCTTGAGAGTAATTTTGTTGGAGGAAGCCTCAAATGAGGATCTTTATTGCTGATGGAACGTAAATCCCGCAGTGGAAACGATGATCTTGTTCTTAAATTTTTAGGGAAAAAAACCACAAAACCAAAGGAAAATACAAGGGAAGAAATTACTTACGTTTGAAAAACTTTTCTTCAAGTAATCACCGATTGACACCACCAATTGATCTTCCTTATTATCCTCTGGGTACCGATTACTGCTTGTGGGAGCACCGGGTTATGAAATCAAAGGGAATTCTTTCAACTTATTTTTGAGAGAGAGTGAAAAGAAGAGAGCAATGCTAGATATGAGTAGAGCTTGAATTTGTAGAATACTTCAAAACTTCCCACTCCCTGCATTTTTTTTTGTTGCAGGGGAGTTTTTTTTTTATTTTATATTAATTAAATTAATATTAACAATTAATAATAATAATTAATATATATAATTAATTAATTATTAATCTAATTAACAATTAATTAATTAATTAAATATATATATTAATCAAATAAATAGTTAACATTTAATTAATTATTACTAAAATAGAATCATATTCTAAAGCATTTCTCTTATATAACCTAGAGTTGTAATGTACCTCTTATGCACATTATTTTTAACTTATAGTTTTAATATAAATCTTATTCATATTAATTTTTATTTGAATCTCATTCAAATAATTTCTCTCAAAATATATGATATTAATTTTTGAATCTTTATCCAAAATTAATATACATTTATATATAATGTATCAATATACATTATATACATTCCCTTCTATAATTTGAACATTTAAAATTATTTCATAATTTTTGACCCGTTGTGAGCTAGCAAGGGGACCTAATGGACCTACAGATCAGAGGCTCCAACGATAAAAGATTAATCGGTCAAACTTATTAACTGAGTTAATCAACATTCGTTAACTATGGGTCACTCCACTAAAGACTCGCAGCGGCACTCTTCTCATTGCATAATTTTTTCGCGCTCACGGATATACGATCATTAACGGCAAGTCAATCCATCACGAGTGCTCATAACTCAAGCTGGTTCAAATTACCGTTTTATCCCTGAGTTACATCTTACTCCTTAAATACCACTGCTCCTCTAATGAACAATCCGGTTATGGTCCAACCAATAACCGTAAGTCCTTCTTGGGCCAGTGAGAGGGTGGGGTGTTGCATTCCCACAACTGTGATGAATGCAAGTGCAAGTGTACACTATACTCGTCGATTGTAGTAAACGAGGTCGAATCCACAGGGACTAAGGATGTTACTTTAAGCATGCGTTAAAGAATACAAAAAATGGAAACAAAAGATAATAAGTGGTTGTATAACTAAACTAAGTAAAATGCTATAAAAATGCAGAAATAAAATCCAAGAGATAAATATTGTAATAACATATGCTAGGGCAAAGAAAATGTTTTCGCACATAATGCGAATGAGAGGTTAACAAATATGGGGAAACGAGGGAGATTCCTTATGCTTTCACTAAATCCCAACCTCTACTCTAGCATGTAATCGAATGCTATTGCTCAACTCGACATGGTTCCTTTCCGAGACATCCAAACATGAATACCCACAACTCCTGTTGCTAGATACCCAAGCAATAAACCCAAGTTTTAAGCATGATTAGGGGACCTCATTCCTGAGTATCCACGAATCTACTAGAAAAAAGTAGCTAAACACAAATTGAGCAAGTCAACTAACGATAAGCCCTTCTTGGTCATACAGAAGCTAGCATACTAAACAAGGTGGCCAACAATGTTCAGTAAGATGAAGGAAAATACACACAGCTCCATTAAATAGCAAGAAGAAAACAGCTAAAGTGTTGGTTGTTCAATATTTACAACATATAAATCTCCCTAAAAATGGAGTTTAGTTTATGGGGGAAAGGGAAAACGAAATGGGTAAATAAAAGATACAATACATTCTAGAGAAAGAGAGAAAAACGCAGATGGAGACCACCAGCACACAATGTCCAACAACAGCTCCTTCCCGTGGTTTGCTCTTCCTCGAAATGGGTCTGCTCTCCTCTACTTCAGCACTGTATTTGGAGTATTTTCTCTCTTGGGATTGATTCCCCTTTGGGGAATGATAATGAGACAACCTTATCTTGTTGCTTTTATAGCACCCTCGAAAATATAGGGCACAACTCAGTAAAACGCGCGTTGTACGGACATAAGTGAAAGTCCCGCGTGTTCCTGCGCTGCCCAGGAAGTTCTGCTGCAAGTGATGCTCCAGAATTAACATGCTCTAACACAACAATGCTCCGACATTTCTCCTCTAATTCTGGCATTCTACTGCTCCGCAACAACTTCTCCATATTCTGCACAAATAAATCAAAAATAGGGGAAACAATCAGGAATTTGCATAAATTCAGCAACTTGAGGATTTAACATATGGTAATTAACTTTTCCGCTCAATTCCTCACTTTAGCATGCTTCTTAAATAAAGATCCTCACATTAATGCACAAATTAACCCAATTATTTACTAAAATAACTCTCTTTTGGAGAGTTATTACACCCCCAAACTTAAAATCGTGCTTTTCCCCAAACAAAAGCATGCATGACAACACTTTTTCACTAAGAAATATATTAGTAGCTTGCAAACCCAACATCCAGACTTATGCCTCAACACTTTACTTTTATCATAAATACAAGAGCTTACATAATCTTTGCTAAAATGCTTCAATTGGAACATAAAAAGGAAAGCGACTTTGACCTTGCTCTCATTCTAGAAGACACTTTTTGTAACGCCCCACGTTACTGAGGTCAATTTAATCTCGAGTTTTAAAATTTTACCCCAAGTTAAATTTATTTTATTGTGTTTTATTTTATTTGGGTTGTCATTGTTTTGTTGTGAGTTTTATTTTAATCACTAAAGTATATTTTTGGGCCTTCTATTATGGGTCGTTAGATAGGAATTGAGTTTAAAATTGGGAATTTAGCTTTTTAGTTTTAAAATAAGTTAAGTGGCGCCTTCTTTTAAAAAATTGGGAAAATTTCTCTTATTTATAAGAACATTAGCATTATTTTAGTTGATTTATTCTATGTTTTGGAAAAGGAA